TTTTTTTATCCTCGAGAGACATCATGGCTTGCAAACGAGCGAAGCATGGCAGTTGCCCCGCCTCTCTCCTCCTCATTAGCATTTAAAGCTACAGACACAGAAATGGCACGTCCTAAGGAAAGCTCATTGTAGGACTGGCTCGTAGTGGCTGAAATTCTGCACCAAGGCTGAATTTCGGGAAAGAGACTTCAGATACAGTACTAGGGACCACTTAGGCCTATATAAAAGCATCTAAAAAGCAGCATGTCATGGGACCTTTAAGGTTACCACGGTAACCTTGTTTCCCGCCACAGTGCCAGTGTTACTTCTGCAAAATCAGATTCTGAACTGGCTGTTCAAATCACTCATACAAAGCAGGGTTATTATCGTCAACTGAAACTACTGAAACATTTTACTTAATTGAAAAACAAAACAAAATAACAAATATTAGATGGAAAAACTTTAAATCAAAATTAGAAATATTGCCTTGGCAAATGTATGTTTGAGCTGATGTAGTAAATTTACTCGCTGTAAATAAATACTAAAACTGAAGTAAATTAAACTTAAACAGTATTATAAAAAAATACTACAAAAAGTACAAAAAAGCACTTAAAGTACTAACATTAAAAGATGATTTCTAATTGAAATAAAGCTGAAATAAAATATAAATGTAAGATGAAAGACTTAACTATAAACAGTAATAATAATAAAAAAATACAAAAAATAAACTAAAATTAAAAAAACAAAACTTTAAATGCCTTGGCAACAAAATGAAACAAGTTTAAATTGAAGCAAATTGAAACTAAAGCTGAAATAAATGAAACCTACTTAGTAATGTTTAAAAAAAACTAAATTACTAAAAATTTAACTAAAATTGAATATTAGTTGAAAAACTTTGAATGAAAAAAGGAACACTGCACCGGTAACTAACTGAATTTATGGGAAATAAATATGAAAATTGAAAAAAATTAATGTAATTAATTATTAAAATTTAAAACAAATTCAAATTATTTATAAAACCTAAAATGCATGCATTTCGCAGTATAATAGTATATAAACACTTCTAAAATAACACTGATACAAAGCTTGTTGCTTATTACATACACTAACCTGTATAATGCATATATATTATACTATAACAAGTATATACTGTGTGTGAGCGACACACACCGTATCCGTGTTAAATCTGAGACCATTGACATGCGTGTCCGACAAATACAGTCCGGTTTTGGCAAGTCAAGAAGAATCCGAGTTACAACGTCCGTCTGGTATGTTAAAGCACACACACACACAGAGACATCACAAACACAAACAAAGGCGTTCCCATCTGCGTGCTGAAATACTTGTCATAACTGTACGAAGAGCCAGTGTTTCTATTTCTGTGTTTAAAGCGACATGCCGCATAAACACAGCATATTTTCTGCGGTTTTCACTCTTATTTATGTCGTCCAAACAGCAGGATCTGAGCTCCTGCGTTTGGTGCAAACACACTTGAGCGAGGAACACTGTGCACAAAATACAGCAGTTCGTCTAAACATCCCATCACTTCATGTCCAAAAGAGAAGCTTGTCAGATACTTTTAGGCCCAAACTTCAGCTCTGTGACGTTCATTCAGATTTGTGGGCTGAATGGTGCGCTAGTGTCAGTTTTCTCAGTGATAAAGTGTCATAATGAGAGCAAGAAGAATGACATTTTGGTTTTTATGTACCAATTATACATAAAAATCTAATTTTACTTTAAGATTCAGTATTTCTGCAGCTCGGACAGGTAAATTTTACTTTAAGATTCAGTATTTCTGCAGCTCGGACAGGTACTTAATCTCACTCATTCCACTCCAATCCACTATTCCGATCTATTCTGTATATAAGTAACACACAAAGACAGCAAAACCATCATTCACGGATCACAGCAACAAAACGAGGCGCGGAAACCTGCTGTCTCAGCATTACAGCCCGTTCTTACCTCCAGGTTATCAAATGAAGGCATAAAACAGTAATTTAATTTATCTTTTAATCAAATGAAAAGAAACAACAACTTTATTTTTGAAAAAACAAAGGGGGTTTAGTATGAAAATTAAAACATGGGAGAAATATTGTGTGATTACTCCTTAAAAAATTACGTTCATTTTTACTGCACAATAATATATTTCTGACACAATTTATTCAAGTTAAACCGAACTTTTATTTTGACGGGTTGCCGTGGATACCTTTACACTTCTGTGTGTATATGATATGATCATTTTTCGCAAACGAAACGGTAAAATGCTCAGGAAGTGACTCTCAGAGCAGTTCTGAGATGTTGTTCATTTGCATTATTGACACACTATTTTCCTATTTGATACTGTAAAGCTGCTTTGACACAATCTGTATTGAACGGATGATTCATTAAGGAACGAAACACCGTCATGTTGCTCAGAGATGCGAAACAGCGCTGTGGCTGTGTTTGGAATTATTTTTATTGTCGAAATAGAGCAAAACCAGGCAATACGGTGTAAAGCCCCGTTCACACCAAGAACGATAACTATAAAGATAACTATAAAGATAACGATATTAGCGTCCACACCAGCGAACGATATCGTCTGTTTATTCTAAGCACACGCACATCTGCCGCTTTAAACTCTTGAGCTCGTCACAGCAGGATTGATTCTGATTGGCTGTCAGTGTTTTTATTGTTCATCAGCTGGAAAAAAAAACGTTCTGAAAGTGATTACAACGATATCGTTTCTCTGTGCCTTTATCGTTATAGTTGTGGTGTGAACTCTGCTATTCTTTAATATTGAGAATGATTTTTAGAACTATATCTTTATCGTTATCTTTATAGTTATCGTGCTTGGTGTGAACAGGCCTTAAGTCTCTTAATTAACTTCTTTGATTTTATTAATTAAAATCAATATCACATTTGTAATCACAGTAATTTTTGGAGAAAAAACGGCATTCTTCGTGTGAAATTGATTAACTATATGAAGTGGTATAAATATATACATTTTCTGCCCCCAAGTCTTGAATTTGTGATCATTGTAAATATTTTTTAATAGACTGAATCTTGCAGTGAAAGAACACACTCTAAATGCATATGCACACTACTCTAGACTTCACGTAAAGCGTGCTCTCTGTAGGTGTTTTGTTTTGTTTGGTTTGGTTTTTGCAGAATACTCGATAATGTAAAATCGCACATCGTTAAAACAACAATTACGATATTATCGCAGACGATATATATCGCACAGCCCTACTTTAATTAATACAAAAAGACAGCAAAACCAGCATTCACGGATCACAGCAGCAAAACGAGGCACCGAAACACGCTTTATCAGCACTAAAGCCCATCCTCACCTCCAGCACAGGTCCGGCCCCGAGGATGATCTGCTCCACGCCGCTGGCGAAGCCCTTCTGGCTGAGCGCCGTCAGGTGGTGGATGAGGAAGTTGGTGCTCTGCGTCTTTCCTGATCCGCTCTCTCCCGAGATCACGATGCACTGGTTCCTCCTCCTCTGCAGCATGGCGTGATACGCCACATCAGCCACCGCGTAAATGTGCGGCTCCAGCTTCCCCAGCCGCTGCTTATCGTACATCTAAAGGCGAGACACCCCAGGTGAATAGGGAAAAAATTAAATAACTAATAAATATCACCATACTTACACAGTTGATTGATTACATTAAGAATTACAAACATCTTTTGTATTACATGTTTTCTGAAATGTTATGCTTAAATATGTAAAGGAGGCGTTATCTTATTAAATATGCGCTAATTTGCATAAATTTCTAGAACAAAAATCTCTACATTGGATAAAGCCAAGTTCAAAATTCTTGTTTGACTTTGCTGACATATTAGACTCAAATGTTTTTACAGAGCGGATTTTGAATATCTCTTTTATTCACTTCATAAATCAGAAAATATTGACAACAGCCAGAAAAAGAATTACATTTTTAAGAATAAAATGTTGTATAAAACCAGGCAAATTATACTGTATATGTGACCCTGGACCCCAAAACCAGTCACAAGGGTCCATTTTTTTTCCATTGATGTATGGTTTGTTAGGATAGGACAATATTTGGCTGAGATACAACTATTTGAAAATCTGGAATCTGAGGGTGCAAAAAAATCTAAATATTGAGAAAATCATCTTTAAAGTTGTTCAAATGAAGTTCTTAGCAATGCATATTACTAATCAAAAATTAAGTTTTTATATATTTTCAGTAGGAAATTTACAAAATATCTTCATGGAACATGATCTTTACTTAATATCCTAATGATTTTTGGCATAAAAGAAAAATGTATAATTTTGACCCATACAATGTATTGTTGGCTATTGCTACAAATATACCCCAGCGACTTAAGACTGCTTTTGTGCTCCAGGGTCACATATGAACAAGCCCCCCTGTAAAAACCTTCAGAATATAGATTGTAATAAAACTGTAAAGTTTTATTGTAAAGTATGTAAGTGCTACTGAAGTGGAGATTTTTGGCTCAGTGAAGGAAAAAAAATCTCATTTTGAGAAAACGACCTTTAAAGATATGTATATTGTAACTGCAATCTACAGACGAAAATAGATAAAGTGCTATAAAAGAAACACTTAAAAGTGTATTTCAGATGTTTTCTTTCCACTAATCTGAAAAAATACTTCACGAAAAACCAAAAACCCCAAAATCTCAAAACTGGCAAGTGCATGAAAAATAGGGCTGGGACAATAAATTGATGCATCGCGATTCGTGGATTGATTCTGAGATTATTGGAATGCGTCACGATTCTCTCTGGATTACTAAAATACTATTTTGTATTTAAAGACATTTAATCAAAATACTTGCCAATCAACCTCTTTATTAGACTGCTGATTTCCTGTATCAACAAGCATACAAAAATACTAAATACAAAAATACTAAGATTAAATGCATTTAAAAACAAAATACATGTGACTTTTCCCAAAGGTATTTAAATACAAAATACAAAATAGTATTTCAAATACATGTATTGTTGATGCTTCACGATGCCATAGAAGAACCTTTTTGTCTAAATGGTTCCATAAAGAACCTTTAACATCTGAAGAACCTTTCTGTTTCACAAAAGCTTCTTTGTGACGAAAGAAGGTTCTTCAGATTGTAAAAAGGTAAGAAAGATATGGTTGTTTAAAGAACCTTTGACTGAATGGTTCTTTGTGGAACCAAAAATGGGTCTTCTATGGCATCGCT